GTAATTCTGGCACATAAAACAGTTCCTGGCACATAGCAGACGTTCCATAAATACTTTTTCCATGATTTCAGAATATGAAAAACATGGTTTTTAGTCTACTACTTTTATTTAAAACAAATCATCCATTTACTATTACTCATGAGAATAAGCACAGCTTTATAGGCAAGGAACTGTCTTTCTTTTCCTCTACATTTGTGACTATTAATCTTTGGAGACAAGAGCCCTGTGAGAATTTCATAAAACTATGGACCCTTTCCCTAGAAAACTACACTTTCTTGAATACATGCCAAAGTGTGCATATAATTTTCATTTGCTGATTACCACTTCAGGCCAGAGTCGGTGAATAGCATTGTATGGGTTGAATTCAGGGGGCCAAACCTGAATGGGAAATAAAATTACATCTCTATTTTCACAAACATCTACCAAAAATTAGCATTGCCCTAATTGTGAATGTAGGCAACAAACCATACTAGATTAACAGTATAGTACTTCATTGGGTCTCCAATAAATTCACAGATGTTTTCATATAATATATTTGTTGCAGATATCTCAAAATAACATTTATTCTCATCACTACATTGAAGTTATAATAGTTATCAGATCAACCACTATAGCTTGTGTTACTTATGAGAGGAGCAGATTTGACATGGCTGGTTTTGCTTAGTGGTTAGAGTGTTGGCCAACAAACCAAAAGGTCATGGGTTCGATTCCCAGTCAAGGGCACATACCTTGGTGGCAGGTTCAATCCCTAGCCCCAAACCAGCAGGAGGCAGTCAATCGATATCTCTTTCTCATGTCTCTCTCTCTCTCTCTCTCTCTCTCCCTCTCTCTCTCCCTCTCTCTCTCTCTATTTCTCTCTTTCTCTCTCTCTCTCTCTCTCCCCCGGATTAAAGAAAAACGTAAAAAAGAGAAGTAGTATCAATAATATTTTTATTGCTTTAATTTAAAAATATACTTTTATTAATTTTACAGAGGAAGGAAGAGGTAGAAAGAGAGAGAGAAACATCAATGATGAGAGAGAATGATTGATCAGCTTCCTCCTGCACAGCCCACTGGGGGTTGAGACTGCAACTGGGCATGTGTCCTCAATGGGAATCCCACAGTGACTTCGATGTTCATAGGCTGACACTCAACCACTGAGCCATGGTGGCTGGCCTTTCAATAATCTATTTTTTAAAAATATTTTAGTCCTAGCTGGTTTGGCTCAGTGGATAGAATGTCTGCCTATTGACCAAAGGTCCCGGGTTTAATTCTGGTCAAGGGCACATACCTTGGGTTGCAGGCTCTTCCCTAGCCCAGGCCTGTTAGGGGCTCGTGAAGGAAGCAACCAATCAATGTGTCTCTCTCACATTGATATTTCTCTCTGTCTTTACCTCTCTCTTACACTCTCTCCAGAAATCAAAGAGAAAATATCCTCAGGGGAGGATTAAAAAATGAATAATCATAGGAAAATAAAAAATGTTTTTAAATACGCATTTTAATAATAGCTTTCCTTTATTTTCATATATATTTTAACTTATACACCTTTTAAAAATATAGTCCTCAAGAATATAGGCTTCTGCAGATAACCAAGAGATATTTGGGAGGAAAAATGGTAAGAAATGGTGCAGTGGGTGGTCCACTGACTCTAAGTTAGGAACCTCTTCTTTCCAAGGTATAAATCTCAAGCTGACTTAGAAATCTTCAAACCTGCCTGGCCAGCATGGCACAATGTTTGAATGTCAACCTATGAAGCAAGAGGTCAGGGTTGATTCCCAAGTAGAGGTATATGCCCAGATTGCGGGCTCAATCCCCGGTGTGGAGTGTGCAGAAGGCAGCCAATCAATGGATTCTCTCTCATCATGGATGTTTCTATCTCTCTCTCTCTCCCTCTTCCTTTCTGGGATCAATAAAAAATAATTTTTAAGAAACAGATGTTCAATAAATAAATAAAAGTATCTGAATTCACAAGTAATCAGAAAAATTCAAACTTAGGTGGGACCGCCTTTATTTACCCATTAGATCAGCCAAAAAATGGAGACTATCTAGTGATGGAAGGATAGAAGACAATAAATACTGTAGTTGCCCACTTAGTGGTGTATCAATTGGCATAATTTCTTTAAGGAAAATTAAATGCTGTATCAATATAGTTTCATCCCAACAATTCCATTTCTAAATATCTATTCTACATAAATACCAGCCCATGGTCCCAAAGATGCATGGACAAGAATGTATGTTGTATCAAATACATGTAACAAGAAAACTGGACATAATCTAAATATCATCAATAGGGGGGTTATTAAACTATGGAATATTTTGAATTTAAATGAATTGGGTAACCCTCTCTCTAACAAGAAGGAAACATGTGTAAGATATATTATGAGGAGAAAGAATCAAGACGTAGGATGTTATCAATTATGTAAAGAAAGATATGAAAATCACATAACATACCTATTTTGCTATCTGTAAATATGTATGTAGGCAAATGCATTGAGAAGGATATGTAAGGAAATATAGTAAACATAGAGAAGCAGTTACCTTCGGGTGGGGATGAGGACACAAGCAGGGTTTTCACTATATCTGCTATCTAATTTTTATATATTAAAAAAATAATCATGTGTTGCTTATTATAATAGAAAATAAGTTTCAATTGACTGTGATTATAAAGAGGGCCTACCAAATTTAATTTTTTAAAATGAACAGAATTGCAATCAATAGACTTGATTTGGGATACAGAGTAGGAAATACCTTTTCTCAGAGCTACTGACCTCAAAATTTTGGATCAAGAAGTTCTTACAATGCAGTTAGTTTTTTTAAATTTACGTATGGAGAGAATATACTCACAGTTTCTCAACCAAATGGTATGACTTCCACGTATCTTTACCAATGTAAGAAATGGCGTTTCCTTGCAAGTTTCTGCAAAGAAACAGTTAATATCATTGAATAAGTAAGAAACAAATGAACAGAATAAGTAAAACAATCATTGCAACCTTGATATTTAAATGCAGGAAACACAAGCTTTCTAATTTCCACATCTATCAGCTTTCCAGTTTGCACAATTAATAAAGATATAATGTGAGCTCCAGTTGGTTTTGCTCAGTGGATAGAGCATCAGCTTGTGGACTCAGGGGTCCCAGGTTCAATTCTGGTCAAAGGCACATGCCTGGGTTGTGGCTCCATCCCCAGTAGGGGGCGTGAAGTAAGCAGCAGATCAATGATTCTCATCATTCATCTCATCATTGATTCTCATCATTGACCTCATCATTCTCTCTCTCCCTCTCCCCTCCTCTCTGAAATCAATAATAATGTATTTTTTTAAAAACCCACAAACAGTGAGAATGTGTCCATGAATTACAAGTGTTTAAAAGAAGCTGTTAAATTCCTGAGGTTCAGTTTCAAACACTAACTCAGTGGATGACTTTGAATCTTTAGCTTTGTCCTCATCCCTCAGCAATAACTTACCTATTCAGTTTACATATTTTTCAGGAAGGTCAGAAAAAGTCAGTTATCTGTCTGCCCCTCTGCCTAGTGGACATCTCCTCTCAAGCAGAAGCCTTCTTGTTGCTTTATGCTCACCAATGAAAGAAGCCCAAACTGAGCTCACCTCCTCAAACTGGCTCTTTCACAACTGCTGTATGCCCACCTGTCATACCACCATCATTCTCCTCATCATCCAGGACAGAAATTTTCCAGGCTCATATTTGATCTTTCTCTTTCCTGTACATCCCATCCTCACTCCAGTCAGTTACTAAAGCTTGTCAGTTCTTCCTTTATAGTGTTCCGAGGATTTTCTTTCTTCTTCTATCACAACACTCTGATTCAGAGATTCAGAGTCTTCTCACTGAACTCCTAGAGTATTCTATTTGGTCTCCCTGAGTCAAGATTTCCTTTCTAGATCACTCTACCTATGGAATCTGAAATAATCCCCCCGCCCCCCCTTTTTTTTTACTCATCTGTCTTTCTCACATGAAAATTTTCAATAGGACTCCTTTTCTCAGTGTAACTTCAAAACCCCTAGATCTGATCGTCAAGAGTTTTCATCATCATATTTTTCACTACTTCCTAAACCAATTCTTTATAACCAGACTGGTCTATTAAGTCATGATCATTCATGTAGCCATGCCTTTGCCCTACTGTATTCACTATTTTACCAAACCATAGCCTCCCTTTAAATCCCAGCTAAACTCCTGGGTTATCCATGCAGCTTTCCCTGACTTCCATACACCAATAACTAAAGATTCTGCTGTATTATAGCACCTCTGGCCTGTATTTCTTTTAGAACTTAATTATATATCACCTACTTTTTTATGTATATTCCCTTTCTTCCCCCCTACCACTGTCATGTTCCATAGACAAAGTCATACTTCTGTGGCTCACACAGTACTTAAACCTGGGCTGGAAACAAAATGGGTCATTTATATAGAAAGCCAGGGGGCAAAGATAAGTTCTAGATATGACTGAGGGATCAAATAATAATAGCGAACACAGACATATGTTAGAAAATTATACATATGTATACACACACACACACACACACACACACAAACACATTAACTCTTCTAAAACTCACAACAATCCTATGTAAAGGTAACTATATAATCTTCATTTTACAGGTGAGGAAATTGAGTCTCAACACTAATAAAGGCGTACTGGGTTCAAACCCAGTCACTCTGGTTGTAGAATCTCTACTCCTAACCACTTTGTTGTATCACCACCAATGAGTCTGGGAGAGGGCCATGTGGCTATAAAGAGAATGAAGCATAAGTGGGAGGACAGTAGAGGTTAAGGAATGAAGTGCTAGGGCTAAAAATTTGGAAAAATAATATGGGCAATTTGCAAGCAAAAGACTGGTTAAGGGGGAACAATAGTATTAAGGAGAATACAAATAAGGAATAGTTGTCAAAGATAAAAACAAAGTCATTCAACATGGTTTGGGGGAGATGAGGAAGGCCCAGGAAGACCTCAAGGAAAAGGCTGCCATGTCAGCCAGGATGCAGAGAGCAAATGAGGAAAGGCAATACTTACAAGATGGTGAAGGTGCCATTATAGGTGCTGGGCTCTGGTACTGGCACTCTGTTGAGCCTCTGCTTTGAGCCAAAACCAATACATGACAGTGTCCCATTACTGCAGGAACAGAGCTCACAGATGTTCATGGTGGCACTCTGTTCAGTCATTGGAGGAACTGTCTCTGATGACTCTGTTGGCTGAAGTTCTGGATGTTCAAGTGTCACCTCAGGGTGCTTTGCAGGAGCTGTAGTCTGCTGCAGGGCTGTAACATCAGCCTCCAAATTCGGTTCTGGAGTGATGGTGATCTCCAGGTCCAAAGGTGGAAAGGTTGGCTGATGCGCCTGAACAGTGTCTGGCGGTGGGAGTGTCACCTCAGGGTGCTTTTCAGGAGCTGTAGTCTGTTGCAGGGCTGTAGCACCAGTCTCCACCGTAGACTCTGGAGTGATGGTGAGCTCCAGGTCCACAGCTAGAAAGGTTGGCTGAGGAGCCTGAACCGGCGCTTCCTGTGGAAATGTCACCTCAGAGGACTTTGGAGGAGCTGCATTCTGCTTCAGGGCTGTAGCCGCAGCCCCCGAAGTGTGTTCAGGAGTGATGGTGAGTCCCAGGTGCACGGGTGAAATGCTTGGCCACTGAGCCTGAACCAGCACTTGGGGGGGAAATGTCACCTCAGAGGGCTTTGGCAGAGCTGCAGTCTGCTGCAGGGCTGTAGCCGCAGCCCCCGAAGTGTGATCAGGAGTGATGGTGAGTCCAAGGTCCATGGGTGGGATGGTTGGCCACTGAGCCTGAACCGGCGCTTCCTGTTGAAATGTCACCTCAGAGGGCGTTGGAGGAGCTGCAGTCTGCTGCAGGGCTGAAGCCGCAGCCCCCGAAGTGTGTTCAGGAGTGATGGTGAGTCCCAGGTCCACGGGTGAAATGCTTGGCCACTGAGCCTGAACCAGCACTTGGGGGGGAAATGTCACCTCAGAGGGCTTTGGCGGAGCTGCAGTCTGCTGCAGGGCTGTAGACGCAGCCCCCGAAGTGTGTTCAGGAGTGATGGTGAGTCCCAGGTCCACGGGTGGAAAGGTTGGCTGCTGAGCCTGATGGATGTGAGAATTTTTTATCTCTTCAAGAGGCACAGAAGGTAGAATTGATCTCTTTGAAGAGTGAACATATTCACCATAGGGTTGCTGTTTATCTTGATCTCCGTGGTGGTCCAACAAAAATTTCAACGGCTCAGAGGACACTGCAGGCTGAGTTGCAGCTTCTTGTTGGCGTGGAAGCTGAACTAAAGCCTCCTGAGGTTTTGGAGAAGGTTCCGTTTCCTCAGGGGCCTCTGCAAGTACAGCTGAGACTTCATGGTTGACAGAAGAAAGTTCAAGGTGTGCAGGATTTTGCTGATCCCAAGACCAGGGCTTGGTGGGCCCCAGGGGCATGGAGGTCAGCAGTATAGAGTCCATGGCCACCTCCGGAATCGGAGCTGCCTGGACCTGCAGCCACAACAGCTGCCATAGGAACAGGAACCGTGGGGCCCACATGTGCAGCCCGGACATGACAGGCAGAGGTCCGGGGCACAGTGAGCCACCAAGGCGAATGGGGCAAGGAGGGTGACCCAGAAGACTGGGGCACAATAGGTAATCCAAAATAATGGAGCACAATTAGCGATCCAGGAGACTGGAGCACAAGGAGCGATCCAAAATACTGGGGCACGTACACGCAACCCAGAGAAGTGGGACCAAGTCCCTGAGCTGAGCAGGAGCCCAATAATTTGCAGCCATGTCACAATTGGCAGCCCTGTCACAATTGGCAGCCTGTCCTGCATGTGCCCCTTAGCAACCAAGCACCCCTCCCCCACCTCAAGTTCTAACCTTTATTTAGGCAACCTTTATTATTCTTGGGCTGAAGTGCCTACAGAAGAGGGATCCTTTTCCCCAAAATCACCAGCGACCAAGTGGTTCCTTTCACCTGCAGAAAAGATAACTATCTCCCTCTGGGTCTCCCCTCCCACTCACAGTGAGGCAGGATTTGGACTGCACACTTGGGGGGCCCCAGAGCCCAGGCATGGTGGGATGTGGGGAGGGGGTGTAAAAGAAGGTGGGAGGAGGGGAGTATTGAAGAGCTTTCCAAGAAAGCCACAGGGCCTGGCATCTTGTTATAATGTACCCCACGAATCACAGAAGGACGCCTCAAGAAGTCGAATTAAAGAGTCACATTTATTGCAATCCGGGGCTCTGAGGGGGCATTTCGCTCTCCCAAATCTCGATTGATAAGATGGCCGCAATACCAGATTTATAGAGGCAAAAATCAGAAAGGTATTGAGTACATCCCAGGGTTTGGGATGAGGAACCTGGTTGGCAAAAAAGCAGTTTGCAGAAGCAGAATTAAGCATGTTAATTATAGTTTTGGGTCTCAGGATCACTGCCTTGACAGAAACACATTATCTAGAGCCCTCGGTTCTTGGGACCACTGAGTCACCAGGAACACATTATGTAGAGCCATCGAGGCAATTTAGAGTAAATGTGCTCTCCTGGTTTTGGGGACTAAAAGAATGTGCTTCCTAAAACCAGTAAGATCACAACCAATGGGATATTCACATTACAATCAATAAGGCATTCAATCGAATGGGATGATTTCTATAATTCAGAAAATCAAAATAACTTTTCTATTGTTAAGCCAAACAGCAGGGTTAGAGTTAAGCAACAGTTTCTACCTAAGATGGTTGCTACCATACTTTATTCCAGGAAATTCAGAAGAGCGAGTCCAGTCTGGCAATCTGAGCTCCTCTTCAAAGCTGAAATCTGAGAGTCTTCCTCCCATGGCCATACTGCTTCCTGGAAAAATAGCTGACCTACAAAATACACCAGAGTGGTGTGGAGTGGGACACACTTTACAGTTCAAAAATGTTGCCATTTTCTTGAAATTCTCAATATCCATGCTTGATTTTTTTTTTAAATTCCCACCCAAAGATATGTTTATTGATTTTAAAGAGAGACAAGGGGGTAGGGAGAGGGGGAGAAAGAGAGAAACATCCATATGAGAGAGAAATATATCGGTTGCCTACAGTACACAACTGATATCACATGGCATCCTCACATGGAGAGTAGACAGAGAGGAAGCAAGCTCTTCATGACCCTTACAAGGACACTATTCCCATTCATGAGGGCTTCACCCTCATGATCTCATCTAACCCTAATTACTTGCCAAATGAAATAATACTATTGCATTGGTCATTGGGTTTCAACATATGAATTTGGGTTGGGGTGACATAAATATTGAACCGTAACATTTCAATTTTGGACTTAACTACGTTTGTGGTTCTTGGTTACGCTAGACCTATCAAACTAATACAGACTCCAACTACCCTTCAGGAATGGTTTTGAACTTCAGTGATTAGTGGGTTGAGAAATCTTCTCAGGTCTCTTGATTAATATAAAGCTAATTGAAAATAGCATATGCATAAATAACTTCCCTTAATCTTTAGAGAATAAAAGAATTATCACCTTTTAAAAATATATTTTTTGTTGATTTAAAAAAAGTAGGGAGAGGGAGAGAGAGATAGACACATCAATGATGAGAGATAATCATTGACTGGCTGCCTCCTGCACACCCCACACTGGGGTTTGAGCCTGCAACCTGGGCATCAGCCCTGACGGGAAATCAAACCATGATCTGATCGTTCATAGGTTGATGCAGCCAGGCTATTTATTACCTTTATAAAGGAACATTTCTCAGCCAGACCCCACAATTAATTCACAGCTTGGGGCTGTCAGGATAAAATCTGTGTATTTCCAACCACCCCAGGGAGTTGATCCATAATCCACCAGAGACGAAGAACTTGAAGAGCCCCAGATAAAGTCAGTTAATTAAAAAATGAAATTATGTTCTAGGACTCTATCTACAAGGAAAAAATGATGAAAGAAAAATCAGAAACTCAAATCAAGCTCCAGATAACTGAAAATTCCAAAATTCTTTCTTGTTGGTTGGCAAAATCTACATCATAGTATAAGTATTATTGTTCTGACTAATTAATGATGTCTATGCCCATGGGAATGCTGGCTAGCCATAAAACAGCAAGAAAGAACACTCCCCTAGAGCAAGCATGTCAAACTCGTGGCTGGCGGGAATGAGGCATGTGCGGCCTGCCGGCTGCAAGTTTGACATGCTTGCACTAACAAAACCATTTAAGGCAGAGACTTAAAAAAATCAACTGAAAACAGCTAACAAATTCAAAGATCAAGTGGCTTGTTTTTCTGGGAAATAAATGAATAAGAAAACATAATTTTTGTTATTTGTTTACTCTTATACTATTTATTAAAGAACCACTGATGTTAAAGTAATAAACCAACGCATAGCCACAAATGCCATTGAAAGCCAGCTCTTGAAATTTGCTGTAATTCCAGTCCATTCAAAGAGCGCATGATTCTCTGCCACCTTATTTTATTTTTGACAAAGTCTGGTTGCATTTTCCAATGAGTTCTGGTAAGCCAGCCAACAACTCTCTGACCTCTCCTATATTTTTTGGAATTTTAAGCATAAAGCCAGCAAGGACTTGCCTGGTGTTAAGGGAACAAAGTTATTTCCGATTAAGACTCTAATTGGATAAAATTCATTAAGAAAATAATTTAGTAATGCCAACTAAATTTACAAAGACTTATATTGATCTTTAAGTTAAAGATTGAGTGTACAATGGCGAGCTAAAATGAAACATTGTTTACAGAGCGGTGCTGGGGCCGTGGTCTTCTTCCCGTGCCTGTGTGGCAGCCTTACTAACTCAGAGACTTAAAATAACCACAAAGGATGATCTGAAATTAAAACTGTTTAAAAATATATATTTTTATTGATTTCAGACAGAGAAGGAGGAGGGGAGAGAGGAACATCAAGGATGAGAGAGAACCATTGATTAGTTGCCTACAATATGGACAGGTGCCCTGACCGGGAATCAAACCCGGACCCTTCAGTCCACAAGTCAGCGCTCTATCCCAGAGCCAAACTGGCTAGGGCTGAATTTAAAACTAAAAGCAGTAGTCACGTTCTAGGCTAGAATCTTACCTGACTAAGTTCAATTTTCACCTTACTAAGCCTGTATGTTGTCTTTTTGCATCTACCATAACATTCCTTTGGAATCTCAAAATCATTTCCTTTTTCTAGACCCCTCAAAGCACAGGTACCACATTAGAAGGGAGACCACAAATGCCCTCACTGTTATTGAATTAGTTGCTGACTATTAACTATCTTGTACCCACCTATGTAAAAGAAATATGTGCCTCTCTAACAGGTTTGGCTCAGTGAATGGAGTGTCGGCCTGCGGACTGAAAGGTCCCAGGTTTGATTCTGGTCAAGGGCCTGTACCTGGGTTGCGGGCACATCCCCAGTGGGAGATATGCAGGAGGCAGTTGATCGATGTTTCTCTCTCATCGATGTTTCTAACTCTCTATCCCTCTCCCTTCCTCTCTGTAAAAAATTAATAAAATATGCCAAAACCGGTTTGGCTCAGTGAATGGAGCGTCGGCCTGCGGACTGAAAGGTCCCAGGTTTGATTCTGGTCAAGGGCCTGTACCTGGGTTGCGGGCACATCCCCAGTGGGAGATATGCAGGAGGCAGTTGATCGATGTTTCTCTCGCATCAATGTTTCTAACTCTCTATCTCTCTCCCTTCCTCTGTAAAAAATCAATTAAAAATATATATAAAAAATTAATAAAATATATTTTTAAAAAAGAAGTATGTGTCTATCATTTTACTTTTTATTCTATCACCAATGGATTTAATACATGTAAGTCTTATTTGGATTGTAATGTATCAAATAAGGTGCGAAACTGCCATTCTCTGGAGCATTTTCTCAATCCTTTGAGATTCTGCTTCCCAGCAATTGTCAGTTTGGCTCAAATAAACTCACAAAAATTCTTACAGGTTTGAATATTTCTTAGGTTGACATAACCCAAACTGATCCATTTCCTCAACATAATTTTAAAACCACACAGCTAGGCGTGCAAAGGGGAGTGTGTGTGTGTGTGTGTGTAAGAAAGAGGAGAGAGGGAGAGGGAGAGAGTGAGGGAGAGGGAGAGAGAAAAAGAGGGAACAGGGAGGGAGACAACCTCTCTAAATCCTTAAGTCCCTTTTAAAGAACAGATACATAATAAAAACCTAAAGGAAACCACATTAGAAACACAGAGAGGTTTGCAAAACAAGAGGCTTCTTTCATCCCAAAAATACCAAACCAACACAAGGGGAGAAAAAATGAATGCAATGGATCCATGTGCCAAAGTTTTGGTCCTGCCTCATGGAGACACTGCAAGCAAAGCCAAAACAAATGTGATAATTCACCTGATTCATTCCCAGGCTGTGCCTTAAACACACTATGTATTTATGTATTTGCCGGTCAACACAGAGAAAAACACTTGTTTTCATTCTCAGTAAGGAACTTTGGGAGGTAACTTGGGCAGGCACCAAGAGAACAGCATTAAAGAGGAAAATGGGAGGGCTGGGGGCAGAGAAAGAGCGAGCCAGTATGTGGCCTGCAAACTACAACAATGCAACCTCCATGAACAATGCGCCTCTGTCCTCTGGTAGATGTAGGTGTGCTGTTCTGTTGTGCTTTGTTTTTGTTGTGTGTGAGTGTCACTCGATGTGCCCTGGCATTTCCCCTCAGTCAGGGGAGGGAGGTTGGGGTTCGGGTTTGGGAGAGCTCGGGTGAGGGCAGAGGAGGTGGGCAAGAGACCGCAGCCATGGGCTGGGTGGGTACCTGTAGGCGCTGTGCCTCCTGAAGCTGCTTTCCCTGCAGTCACTGGCTGAGTCGGCTTCTTCCTCGTCCTCCCCTCCTCTTCCTCACCATCTTCCCCTCTTCTCCATCTGTGGTCAACGTACACCACACACTATTTGGATCTGTGCCACGGAGCCCCTTATGGCAGTGAGGCGCACCTATGACACAAGAACTCATTTTTCTTTGTTAAATGGCATTTAAATATATAAAATAAATATCAAAAATATAAATCTTTGTTTTACTATGGTTGAAAATATCAAAAAATTTCTATATGTGACATGGCACCAGAGTTATTTAGGGTTTAGGGTTTAGGGTTTTTCCAAATGCTGACACACCGAGCTCAAAAGGTTCGCCTAATGGCCCCAGGAGCTCAGGGTCTGGTGTGGGGGGGGGGAGAATGTAGGGGAGGAGCTGGCAGCAGCTACCTCCTGTGACTGCTGTCCCTTCCGCCCTGCACCATCTAGGTCCCCACCTCAGCCACCTCCCGGTGCTTCCATAGAAGAGGATTAGGCCAGACTTAGTCGGACCATGTGTCCCATGGCTACAGGTCCTGTGGAGAGGGAGCCTGCATGGAATGCATCACGCTTATAGGGAAGGTGAGGCAGGGACATCTATACCACCACCATGCAAGCTGTTGGATGAAAGAAATTATCTCATTGGAAAAGGCGACTATTTTTCCATTACTTGCTGGTACCTGCTGAGCTAGCGATCTGGTGAGCTACTGAAAGGGGACAGGAAATGAGTCTCCAGGACGGTCCCATTTATTTCTCCTCACCTTCTGGATCCCCACACTCACTGATCCCCATTCCCAGGCTGTGCCTTAAGCACACTATGTATTTGCTGGCTCACTGGTCAACACAGAGAAAAACACGTGCTTTCATTCTCAGTAAGGAACGTTGGGAGGTAACTTGGGCAGGCACCAAGAGAACAGCATCTGCAAACCAATTAACCACATAGGAACTGGAGGCCCTTGCACTCTGCCTAGAACCCCACCTAACCATTTCAGATAAGAATTCCAAATTGTCCCCATTGATTCTTATAGAAAATCTCATCGTCATTACACAATCCTTGTCATGTAGCGTCTGTGCCATGTTTTGCTTGTATGTGGCATTGAGAGGTTTAAATGTATCCCTTAGCCAAGGCTGCTGCTTTCTCCAAAAAACGCCCTCCTAGAAAACAGATAAATATGAATTCTGCATTTCCCTTGTTTCTCCTGCCACAAAACATGCTGGCCTGTTTCCCAGTCCCACTGCTTGACTGGGGGACGCTGTGCTATTGTCCTGTGTGTGGTTGGCACCATTCTGCATCTCATATTGTTAAGCCACCAGCATTTATCTGTGGTCATTTAGGTCAATTATTAAATCTTATTCACTCAGAATTTTTCACTCACGCAGGCATTTAACTCTCACTGACTTAATGTGATGTAGTAATGACTCTCCTCTCTTTGCAGGAGTAGAGGAACCAGTACATTCACTTGGAATCATGCGTCAAAGGATCTGTGTTGGACACAGAAGTAAGTAGGTAGGTTTGGTGCTGGGCTGAGCTGGAGGGAGCGGAGGAGCACACACATGACCCACAGTGGGGTCCACAGAGGCTGAGGCAGGACAAGTGAATGGAGCAGTGGCCCCACCAGTACGTTTCCAGAAATAAAGTCCTGAGGAGGGAAGTCGTAGGCAGTTACTGCTCACACACTCTTCTTTATCTCCAGCAACTCCTTGATAGCTGGCCAACAGTTAGGAAGGGTTTTTGTTGTGTTTTTAATAAAAATGCTTGATTATTTATTTTAGTTCTGGATTTCAGAGAGAGGAAGGAAAAGGGAGAGAGAGAGAGAGAGAGAGAGAGAGAGAGAGAGAGAGAGAGAGAGAGAGACTAGCTGCCTACCGCCTGCCCTCCTACTAGAATTGAATTTGAAACTGGGCATTTGCCCTCACCTCCTGATGCATGGGACAAAGTTCAACAAACTAAGCCACGCTGACTTGAAGTAACCACAAAGAATGGTTTGAAATTAAAACTTTTTAACTAAAAGTAGGTTATGGTAGGTAACCAGCTGGCCCCACCCCCTGGTTGAACTTCTGGTCAAGGACACAATTTGCATATTAGATTTTTATTATATAGGATATATATATATATATATATATATATATATAGAGAGAGAGAGAGAGAGAGAGAGAGAGAGAGAGAGAGAGAGGAAATATGCAAATTAGGCCAGGACACCATAACAGGTCATGACCATACACCAGGAGGTTGTGCGCACAGGTGAGGCCTGAGCTAATATGGAGACAGAGACAGGAGGGCTGGCAAGCCGTCGTGCTGGACTTGGGCCGGCCCCCTGGAGCCAGAGTGGACACAGACAAGGACGGGAGGTTGGGGGAGCTGGCTGGCAGCCTCCGCAATGGAGCACAAGCCTGAAGAGAAGACGGTGGGCCCGCATCCCGTGGAAGCAGCACGGCTCCCTTTGGCCTCCCGCAGAATTGGCGCGGGTCCCTCCCGGCTCCTGTGAGCGCTGGTGGCTTGATTCAGCCTCCTGTGGAAGCTTCGCAGCTCCCCCCCCCACCCCCACCCCCACCGGCGCCCGCAGAAGCAGCAGGTGGACTACTGCACACGATATCGCAGGATGGGCTACTAGTATCAGAATAACTTCCCCTGACAGTACATCAGGACAAATCCACTTATCACATTTCCTTATGTGCTTTTGGAATATGTTAAACCACCCCTAGAAAGTTTTTACTTCCAAAGCATATCCACATATACACATTTACCTGATGGGGGCTGGGGATGGGGGTGAGGGTGGGGGGCTTCCTCTGGCTACTACCCTTGGGCAAGCTTAGCCCCATCTTGGGCACCACCTCAGCCTGGGCAACAGCCCACTTGCCCGGGCTGTTGCCTAGGTGCCTGGAGCAGAGCAACTCTCCCCGTGGATCCAGCACATGGGCATCTACCATGTGGGGCACAGAGCTGGAGCTGGGGCTGCTTGAGTGGTCTGCCCCTGCTGGCCCCTCCGATGGGAGTGCAGGCAAGGAAAAAGGGAGTGCTGAGTGGGGAGGTGCTGGGGCCAGGCAGGAGGTGCAGGCCTGCAGAAATTTGTGCAGGTAGAAGGCCCATCGGAATTGCTGAGGTCCCTCTGGATCATCTTCAGACTTTTCTTCCTCTGGCTATTTGACCAGAACTAACAATGGGTGGAGCATGGTCAGTCAAGGGAGCTATGTCTCCAAGGAGCCTAGAAGAGATTGAGCCCATGAAGGGACCACTATAGGGCATGCAGTGAGGTTGGGATAGGATGGGGTGTGGGGGTACTATAGGTAACCCAGGCGGCTCTGTACTGTGGCATATATCTCATCAGGGCCTCCCTCTTTGTCTCCCTTTCCAGCTTGGAGGGGAAGGCAGGGGAGGCCCCAAAGGTGTCCCCCTCCTGACCCTTTGATGCCAAGAGATCTTGAGGGTATTGCAGGGGATGGGGGAGGGCGGGGGGAGGAACTTATGCAACCCATGCAGGCCAGGGCAGCAGTTAATCCACTCCATCCACAAACAGCCCTCCCTCTGACTTAAAACCTAAGCCAAAGTGCTACAGATTTTAGGAAACAACTCAGTACTAATCAGATATCCTATTTACATTTGATTCTTTCTTCTAAAGCCCTTCTATAAGAGGCAAAGGTTGAATATTTTCATGAGAGTTTATTTAAATCTTTGGTAGATAATTTTAATGGAAGGCTACATGCGATCAGTATTTGAAGCAAAATCTTAACCAAAATTTCCCTCCTCCAAGCATCCTAGCAAGAAGTCATCTCTAAAATTTTAAAGTAAAGGTTCTGTCAGGTATTGCCTAAAATGAAAAAACAAAAACAAACAAGCAAAAAGCCTGTGTTGTAAGGCAGAAAAATTCTGCTCAGACTTAGTGGTTTAACAAGGGGAGAGCTTGATGATGTATCCGAAAAGATGAGTTTTAAATGAAAGAAAAAAGGAGAGGTCCCCACTACTCCAACACATTCCAGAAACAGACCCTCCTCCAGCTTACCCAAAGGCTCCTCGGCCATGCCAACTCCGAGACTCCTGCACTCAGGATGACCCACCTGTAAAGCACAGAACTTTGGCTTTGCTTCTGAAGTGATGCAACCACAATACCTTCATTTTCCCTTTCTTCAAGGTCAGAAAGATCCTGAAGCTGTAAGTATTTGAAGTAAAGGTCCTTCCCAGAGTCTCAATGTAGACTTCAAATGTTTTGTTATTAGAAATAAAAACTAAATTCCAACAATCCCAGCTATCAGTTGAGGTGTTCTGCAGCTTCAAAATCAAGTAAGACTTGCAGATGGATTACTAGATATAAACAATTGTTTTTATAAGTACCATACAAATACTGGAGAAAATTATGGACACCATCACCCAAGTCTATGAAATTATTATTAATTCTAACTGGCAGTCCAATACTCAGATACTTCCACTTACAGGCCTCTCACATCTCCTCCCCACATCCCAGGTCTATTCTTGTCTCTAAAGTCTAGAATTTCAATGTTGAAAGGAGTCTAGTTAGTTCAGTGGTCGGCAAACTAATTAGTCAACAGAACCAAATATCAACAGTACTTCTTCAAAATAGACTCGCCCAGGCCCAAAACCGACTTTTGCGCATGGGCCACAAAGTTTCAATCGCACTGTAAATGCACACCCACACGTGGTATTTTGTGGAAGAGCCACACTCAAGGGGCCAAAGAGCCGCATGTGGCTCCTGAGCTGCAGTTTGCCAACCACGGAGTTAGCCAAAGAAAATCCACAAAGTTTACCTTGATGATTCCTTTTGAACAATCACTGAAAACAATGTAGTAAATTGCCAGTTCTTAGTTAGCACTGGGAGCTGTTTAGGGCAAGGGCCTCATGTTGAACTGCCCTATGTCTGATGCCAAGATGAACCATAGGACAAAAGACATAGACATAAGAATATCACAAATCTGGAGAAACCAAGATGCCGGCATAAACACTGGAAATTGCTGCTCCCACAACAAATTCAAAAAACAACTAAAAGACAAAAAGGACATCATCCAGAACCACAGGAAGGCTGGCTGAGTGGAAATACTACAACTTGAAAAAAAGAGAAAAGCACACTGAGACTCAGGAGGTACTGAGGTAAAGTGCAGAGGTACAGAGGCACACGGCAAGGGCTGGCGGGAGGGAGTCACAAGCCCCCGACTGCTTTGAACTCCAGTTCCAGGTGAGTCTCTGGGAACCTAGACTCATACAGGGAGAACCTGGACTGTCTGGCAGCAGGCAGAACTCAGAACTCGAGGGCGGCTTTCTCTCAGGGGTGCCTGCAGCAATTACCAGGACACTGAGACTCAGTGCTGGGGGGGCCCTTAGGGCAGGGCTGAGGATCAGCCATAGCTGCTTGCTCCACCCTGTTGATTCCCTGAGACCCCGCCCCACCCAAGCTGCTGCAGAGGCTTTTGCATATGAATGCCCGGCCCTTTGCAATCTGAAAAGTACCTAATAAACTGCAGTTGGGCGAGACAGACCCAGAACTTCCAAGAGAAAGCCCAAGGCCCCACAGCAGCTTGCATTGCTTCACATCTGGGACTCATCTGGGCACCTCCAAACTCCAATCAAGAAAGGGGAATCTGCAGATATCTTCATAGCTCCTGCTGGGTAGCCTCAGGCAGAGGCTAAATTAGCACCTCCTTAGATCCAAGAGCCAGTGTACCCAGTGGTCAGAGTGGGACCATCCAGATTACAACTCCTCAGATCCATAAGGGACACACTCAGGGGGCAGACTCAGTGAGCACCAAAGCCCCACTGAAGCAAGTCTTGCCCTAGAAGGGTGTCTTCAGCACAGAAGTTCTCCCACCGTAGACACAGCTGATTCTCACAGCCAATTGGTCTGGAGGTCAGTTCCTCCCAGTGATACCTACAACAATCAAGGCTTAACTAAAACAAGACTGTGCACAAAGCCCACAAGGGGGTGCACCAAGAGTGTCCACCTCAGGTAATTGGGGAGGCTGAGGCACTGGGCCCTATAGGACACCTAGCACACAAAGCCACTCTACCAACACAGGGAAGCATAAAAAATACGGAGACAAAGAAACAGGTCACAAATGACAGAAATGAAGGAAAGCAAACGACTGGATATAGAGTTCAAAACCACGGTTATAAGGTTTTTCAAGAATTTTCTAGAAATCACCTATAAATTTAGTGAGAGGATATGAAAAAAGACCAACAGAAATTAAGCATACACTGACTGAAATAAAGAATAATATACAGGGATCCAACAACAGACAAGAGGATCCCCAGAATCAAGTCAAAGATTTGAAATACGAAGAAGCAAAAAACACCCAACTGGAAAAGCAAAAAGAATCCAAAAATACGAAGATAGTATAAGGAGCCTCTGGGACAGCTTCAAGCGTACCAACATCCGAATTATAGGGGTGCAAGAAGAAGAGAGAGGGCAAGATATTGAAAACCTATTTGAAGACATAATGACAGAAAAATTTCCCTTCCTGGTGAAAGAAATAGATTAACAAGTCCAAGATGCACAGAGAACCCCAAACAAAAGTAATCCAACAAGGACCCACCAAGATACATCATAATTAAAATGCCAAGGGCAAAAGACAAAGAGGGAATCTTAAAAGCAGCAAGAGAAAAACAGTCAGTCACCTACAAGGGAATACCCATACGATTGTCAGCTGATTTCTCAACAGAAACTATGCAGGCCAGAAGGGAGTGGCAAGAAATATTCAAAGTGATGAATGCCAAGAACCTACAATCAAGATTACTTTATCCAGCAAAGTTATCATTCAGAATTGAAGGTCAGATAAAGAGCTTCATAGATAAGAAAAAGCTAAAGGAGTTCATCACCACCAAACCAGTATTATATGAAATGCTGAAAGGTATTCTTTAAGAAGAGGAAGAAGAAAAAGGTAAAGATAAAAATTATGAACAGAAAATACATATCTATCAATAAGTGGATCTAAAAATCAAGTGAATAAAATATCTGATGAACAGAGTAAACTGGTGAATATAATAGAACCAGGGCATAGAAAGAGAGTGGACTGACAAATCTTGGGGAGAAAAGGGTGTGGGGGTACAGGAAGGGGCGGAGGGTGGGGTGGGAACTGGGTGGAGGAGAGCTATGGGGGGAAAAAGAGGAACAACTGTAATAATCTGAACAATAAAGATTTCATCTAAAAAAAAGAATATCACAAATCTGACACAGAGACTTATTTTTAATACACCTGAAATTTATGAATTTCACAGTGATTGTGAATATTAAATAGGATACATTTTAAGCAATAAACTGTAAGTATTATTTTTTAAGCCACAGTACTTTGTGGCACCATTTCTAGGGGCCCTGGCTAACTGAAAAGTTGCACTGAACTCTGGTGGTGAAAATGATGATGGAACAACTTAGAAAGCCATGCATATGCCAATATAGGGTTATGGGTACCCAAAGGCAGTAAATTGTTTTAGTCATCCCATCCTGTAGCTCCTATTTCAGACTATAACATGAAGAACAGAAAAAATGGACCTGCCACCAAGGTAGGATCTTAATTTGCAGCACTCCCCTCCCCAAGTTACTGACCCCTGTTAGAAGATACCTCTGCATAAATTTTATAAGCAACTAAAGCAAAGTTCATCTGCATCTAAGGTTCAAAGCTGCTTTCAGAATGCAAATCTTCAGTGTTAACTCTCTAAATAACTTAAACATTCATGTGGATTTCTCATATCCCTAGACCTTCCTTAAAGGTGAATTTCAATTTTTAATGTACCACAGGTCCTCAAATTCAACATCATTTTGTTGTGTCCTAATGTCCACAGGAACTTAACTCTTATCTTATTAATTAATCTATATGGTAAAATTGTTTTTGTTTTACATCATTTCACTTAAAAGTTGCAGAACATACCAGCATGGTTATGTGAGCACTTCGTGTATATGAATGGAATTATAAAATTCCAATAATACAAATAAAGTCAAAGCATTATTTTTATTGAGTTATTGGTACATCTTCCTCTATCACTAGTTTGTAAGCTCTTCAAGTGCTAGAAGGAACCATTATCTTATTTTTTCATCTCCAGAACCAAACACAGTTCTTGGTATATGATAGGAGATTGATGGTCTGTTGATTGAGTGAATGAATGAAATGAGCAAATATGAAAATGAAATTACTTTTTCCAACTGAAGCTGACTGCTGACAAGCAGGGCTGAAGACAAACTTTTTTTTTTAATTAAATCTTTATTGCCAGCCTGTACAGTGAATCAGTGAAGCAGCTCTGGACAACAAGGAAGCTTCCGAAGCTGGTCCCTGGGGAGCAGAGACAGTTGTCTCCTTGGATAACCTGGCCATACTGCTTGCTGGCAACCATTTTCCTTCATGATACTGAAAAAAACAATCTCTCTGATGCCTTAGGGCTTTCCTTGATTTTAAGACATTATTCATTTTCTGAATTTATAAAGAGTTTAATCATGTGTACTTGCCAAAAATATAAAGGTACAAATAATCACTAATAATTAAGGCCCTGAATTAAAAAAAATAAATCTACAATGCCCTCTTTTCTCAACTATATATTAACATGTGGAACATTTCCTTCATTACTCTGTCAGTGATGGGCTTTATGTTGTGAAAATCTCAAAACCTAAAGCTTATGCAATGAATAGGTCTTAATGTCCAATTGAGAGGGGAAGAAATGTATTACAACGGATACCAAGTAACTGTGTCCTGATCTTTCGAGTACCTGTAACATATGAGTGGCTGTGTGAAATGGCTACAGGCTTGAACGAGGTAGATCGGAGTCTGCAAATTAATGTCTGCTGATCATCTTTTCAGCGACAGGATTGAAGAAGGTGGTGAGCAGGGTACAAAAGTGAAGGTGGTCTACCTGAGTACATCTGAGGAGAGTTCTCAGATTCAGTAGAGGTGAAGTCAATGAGGAAAGGAACATGGGTAAGAATAGGCAGCAAGGTCAGTAAAAAGCCAGATTATGAAGTCAATCAGAGAGGCTTATGAAGACATAATTATAACATGAAAAGTTTGGGAAATCTAAGCCTCACTCATTCATTCAGAGGAATTAAAATGGTCCATGAGA